GAGAAGGTCCTGGATAGAATGGGAGAAAACATGGAACAAAATTCAAAATCATTAAAAAATAAAAAACAAGCTTCCTGGTTGAATAGAGACAGATGGGATCCACAAGACTATGGGGCTTAGTCACCCTTCAGGTCTGGAACTGAACTTACCCCTGCTCCAATTTTCAGCCAAGTAATTAATGGTGGTGGTGGTGGTTAAGTGCCGTGGAGTTCTCAGTTCAGCCAAGTAATGTTGTTGTTGTTAAGTGCCGTCAAGTCAGTTCGGACCCATAGCGACCCTGTAAAGGGTTTCTGAGGCTGTAAATCTTTACGGGAGCAGAAAGCCTCCTGTTTCTCCTGCAGAGTGGCTGGTAGTTTTGAACTGCTGACTTTAAGGTTTGCAGTCTGATTCATAACCACTACACTACCCGAGCTTCTTTATAAAAGGGAAATGTTAACAACTAGGGAGGGAGGTACACACTCCTTAGACCAATCAACCATTAGAGATCAAAAGGGCAACATCTGCCCAAGGACAAAGTTCAGAAAGGCAGAGGGATTAGGAAAGAAAAAGAAATGGAAATGGGAAACACAGGGAGGAAGTAGAGAGTGCTGTGGCATTGTGCGGATTGCAATCCAGAACACAAACAAAATACGTATGAATTGTTAAAAGGAAAACTGATTTACTCTGTAAACCTTCCTCCAATTCATAATAAAAAAAGTTAAAACCATGTGTCATTGTTCTAAGCATTTTAATATATTATCTATATTGACTGATTATTAACATTCCCTTTTACAGGTGACAAAACAGGCACAGGAAGAATGAGTAACTTGCTGCAGGTCACACAGGTGGTAACTGGTGGATCTGGAAGATTCAAACCCAGGTAATCCGACTTCCAAACCCATGCTAGCCACTCTCACGTATTGTGGTATTATCATCACGTTGTTGCTGTTGTTGTCATTAAGTGCCATTGAGTCAGTTCCAACTCATAGAGATACTGTGTATAGGGTTTCCAAGGAGCGGCTGGTTAAGTTTGAACCATTGATCTTGCAGTTCAAACCGACCTTGTGGTCCAGTGCTTATTTTACAGAGCCACATCAGGACTCCATTATCATGCAGGGTATAATGCCAGTACCTTAGTAACTCCCTTTAAAGGAATCCCCCCTCTTTTTTTTTCCAAATTAAATTTTACTCAAAATTTAATATAACAATATAGTGATAACCAATTTCATCAAGCACTTAAAACTATGTTCCAGACTCTGTTCAAAGCACTTTAGTACATTGATTCATTCACTCTTCTTCTCAGCCCCATTTTGCAAACATGGAAATTGAGACTCAGAGCAGTTAAATAGCTTTCCTAAAGTTACCCAGCACATTGGTGATGGATTCAGTACTTAAACCCTTGTTATCTCAGACTCTACAGCTTCTGTCTTTAGCTATTCTGACTCTACATAAAATGCATAAAAACTGGACTGCTTTTTTATTCTGGGTAGCGGGAGAAAGATGAGGCTTTCTACTCCTGTAAAGATTTACACCCTCGGAAACCCTGTACAGGGTCGCTATGGGTCGGAACCGACTCAACGGCACTTAACAACAACAACAACAGCATGAGTGAAAGGGGGCAATGGAAGCTCTATTTTGAAACCTATTGGTTCTCCTTGTCTCCATTTTACAGAGGGAGTAAAGGGGATCAAGAAGTGGTAAGAACTGGTGCTGGATCCCAAACCCCAACTGCATCCACCCTTGGACTTCAAGAGAAGCTGACATTGGCCTTAAACTTAAAGAGCAAGTGAGGTTTTCATACAGATTATCTCCTCTATACTTGTAGCATAGTGGTTACGAATCGGGCTGTGAACCACAAAGTCACCAGTTCAAAACTACCAGCTGTTCCGCGCGAGAAAGATGAGGCATTCTGCTCCCGTAAAGATTTACAGCCTTGAGTTGGAACCAACTCCACGGCACATAACCACCACCACCATACTTCACAATGACCCCATAAGGTATTTGTATTCTAATTTTACAGAACAAGAAAATCAAGCTGAGAAATTTTAGTTTAGTTATTTGCCTGAAGTCCTAAAGCCAGTACTAAGTGACTATCAGGATATCAACCCAAGTCCCTTGATACACAAAACCAGATTGCTTCTAACATCATCTTTCCTGATCTTGTTCCTCTGGTGATTTCACTTCAGATTCCCAGGGAGTTGGAGACAGATCTATCTATGCCCACAGCCTTCTTTGCTCTGGGGTCCCAAGTTTTCCAACTTCTGGTCTGGTCTTCTGCATACAAAATGTAAAATCAGCGCCCACATCAAGTGAATCATTTCACTGAAATGTTTATTAATTGGTTCAAAGCCGAACTGGCATGCTTGGAGCCTGTGACCAGTTTATTTTAGTTTAGACTCTTGCTACCTACCCAAATTGTGATCAGCAGTCCCTTGTAGCTTGTTAGAAATGCAGGCACCCTAAAGCCACTAAATTAGAATCTGTTTTTTAAGACCATTCCCAGGTGATCATTTGCACATTAAAGCCTGTAAAGCACTAAGTTAGGCCTGAATCCCAGAGGAACCAGGCATATGCCTGCCCCTGTAACTGACCCTCTGTGGCTCTTGGCTTGGTTGTTAGGGGCAGCTGTGAGTTGGTTGATGATGCTATTGTAAGGAAAAACTTGGATATTAAATTGCAACCAAGGCCTTGGAGATTATGGCAACAAAGAGAACCCTGGCTGTTTTATTGCAACCAGCATCTGCATGGTGAACTGAATGAGAGGCCCAAGAGATTTCTTACAATAATTTAATTCTTATTGTCATTCTCCAAACTGACTATAATGATGCAACAAAGTGGGGAAATGGGTAGGTGTCTTGGTTTTAACTGAATCGGGTGGTGCTAAATTGGAAAATAGTTTTAAACTATGTTTGCTGCACTGAAACTGCATATTCATACTACTGGACTAGACACAGAAATGTGTTATGACATTGGGACATGCCATTGAAACATCTTTAAGGTCTCATGATGACAAGATTTTCTCCTAACAACAATATAATAGAGAAAAACATTTGCCTGATAGAATCTGGACTACTACACTGACAGCATTTCAAACTGGAATGCACTGCAGAGTAAACACTAACTGGAATCTAGTTGCTCTGTTGCAACAAGTTTGTTATTTGCTATTGAAACGAATTGAAAAGCCTGTGACTGAGGGTGTGTATGGCTTCTTTATTGCAACAGGACCTTGCAGAGTGCCCCACTGTGCCAGTGGCCTGGATAGGCTGTGGACCAGGCAAGAGGGACTCCTATCACGAGGGGGAATTATACTGAGACGTTACACTGTTATAAAGGCAAGATTTATGAAATATATTGCTACAGGCAAAAGGACAGCAAACTGTTGTACAGGAATGTAGGAAACAATTGCAGCCTCCAGTAATGATAAGTAGCCATTGGATGCTTCAGCAACGTCCTGACGGAGGGAGTGGTAATGTTATCCTGTTTTACAGTTGAGGAAATTGGGGCTTAGAGAAGTTCTGGGGTCTTTCAAGTTCTCATGACAGGGGAACAGCAAAAGGACTCAGCCTAGGCCTTTGGCTACAAGCTGTACTTAGAGGAAAACTTTGCATATGCTTTGAAATTGGATCAGGAAACTTGTGGAAAGATAAACATACATGAGGTTACCTATCCAAATCTAGAATATTTTGTTGCAAAATTTTAAGATATGCTATAAGTTTAAAATTAAAGTATCTTCTTTATAAGAGACCCTAAGTATCTGGAATTTGGACAAAGTTAAGACCAATACAGAGGCAGTAAAGAAAAGATGTAATTATAATAAAGTCTTGCCTGGCTTAATGAGAAGAGACCTAAGTTTGTTTTTGCTCTAATTACTTATTGGCATTTAAACGAGACAAAAAATGTAGTTTCTCAGAGTTTGGCAAAATAATCTTCTTTAAGGTGAACCTTAAAATCACCACCTTTGTGAAGCCTCTCCAGATTGCCCCACACTCCAATGCCTACAGAGAGGTAGAGCCTGGCTCCTCCCATCTTCAGGATTTAAGCAAAGTTTTGGGTTTGTTAACATTGTACCGTCTTTCCGCACTAAAATACAGCTCATCTTTACGGACTTGGCTAGTCATGGAGCCCAGTTCTATGCCAGGCAGTAGCATAGAGAACGAAGATATAATTTATGCATCTGGAATGTGACCACTTTGTGGCCACAATATCGCCGACCTCTCTTGGCCATTAAACTCGAGCCTTCTCTCAGCAACGAAGGCCCAAGCTGGACACCTAGACCCGACATTTCCCCAGCCACCCTACACGTCGAGGCTCGGGGAGGACAGCTGTGCGCTCAGTGGCGCGGTGCCCACCTCTCGCCACGGACGCCCAGCACGCTGTCAAGTGCCGCGAGTGTTGAGTGGATTGGGATGGGGCAGAGAGTGAGCGAAAGGAAACCCTACAAATAAATGCCGACACCGACACTTGACCAGTGGTAGTGAGCGCCCTGCGGGGCCGGGGGAGGGGCAAGGGCCGCTCCGTCCAGCCGGGCGCCAGCTCCTCCCGAGCAGGCGGGCACCCACCGACTTCGGGCACACAAAGCCTGCTCGGCGTGCTCGGCGATCGGCTCCTCGCGTCTGTGTCGCCGCGCGCCGCCAGGCGGCTCCAGGTTGGGCGACGGGTAGTGGCAGGCACAGGGCGTCAAGAAGCTGCAAGCATCGAACCGCCGCGGGAGGGAGCGCGAAGGCGGGGGACTGAGAGGAGGAGGAGTAGTGGGAAAGGGAGGAGGGAAGAGAAGGAGTGGGGATCGGGCGGGGGGGTGGAGGAAGAGGCCTCGCGCTGAGGAGGGAGCAATTGAATTTCAAACACAAACAACTGCACGAGCGCGCACCCACCAGGCCGGAGCTTTGCCCCCGATTTGCGCCCGCCCCGTCCGTGCGGCGCGCGGGCGGAGTCGCCGTGGCAGCGCCGGAGGTCGGGCCGGGGGCCACCATCGAGGCGGGGGCCGCGCGAGGGCCGGAGCGGAGCGGCGCTGCCAACGCCGCACGCGCAAACTTGGGCTCGCGCTTCCCGGCCCGGCGCGGAGCCCGGGGCGCCCGGAGCCCCGCCATGTCGCGATCCAATCGGCAGAAGGAGTACAAATGCGGGGACCTGGTGTTCGCCAAGATGAAGGGCTACCCACACTGGCCGGCCCGGGTAAGCCGCATACCCCGCACCCCTGACCCCACCGGGTTTGTGTTGCATAACACCCGCGCGGGCGCTGGAGCACCGCGCCGAACGGGGCGGGGTGCAGGGGGCGCCAGGGTCCCGGGCTTTCCCTGTCGCCTTTAAGCCCACCGCTGGTTACATAACGTTGGAGGCAAAGGGGGTCAAACACCTGGCGGGGGCAGCGTCCGCGCGTAGAGGCGTGTGCGCGGCGTGGGGATCCGAGGGCGCGGGTCATTTCCCGGCCCGGCTCCGTGTGCTCAGTTCCGCCCCCAGCCCCCATACTCCCGGCGGTTTCGGGCGCGCAGCCTGGGTTTGGGCCAGTCGTGTAACTCCTCCCATTCCACCCCCAGTCTCTGCCGCCTCCCCACTTTGGGTCCCCCTGATTGTCGCCCTCTCTCTGGATACTTTCCTTTTCTTAGATTAAAAGGTTGGGAAAGATCCCAGTCCAGAGAGGGATAAATGGAAGCGGAGTTTGCTTCAAGGAAACTTTGGTTTGGGGTGTGTGTAAGAGGTCCGAAGTTGGGAGGGTTGAGTAGTAGTTTGAGCTGGTGTAATGGGTGGGGGGAGGGGTCTACCTGGCTCCGAAAGTATTCGCCAAAACCCTTCACCCGTCAGTCCCACAAAAATATTCCTGTATATACTGCCAACTCAAATTTGAGATTGAGGGTGGCATAGCCCCTGTGGAGTTGGGAAATTTGGTGCAGATTGTGTCTGCCTTGTAGTGAGGGTGGCAACGGGGGTAGGGGATGGGGAAGAGGAATGGGGGAAGGGTCGGGTTGCTTCTGTTCCCCTCCCCTAGGTAAAGAGTATCTACCGCCAGAACGGCTCAGTCAACCATGTGGTTGATCAGCCCGCCAATATGGGGCCTGGGCCCCCGCCTGTCCAGCACCTGGCCAGGTGGGAGGGTGGAGCCTAAAAGCCAAGTCTGGTGTGTTCATTGTTTCCCATAAGGACTGAGACAGGTTAAGTAAAAGTAAGCACATAGGTGGTTGCCAGTTGTGGGGAGGAGAATGTGGGTGGCTCAAGGGGTATTGCCCTCCGGCTGCTTACTTCATAGTTGGTGTAGAATGACCTTTCCATATTGGACTCAAACTCCTAAAGTGAAATCCTAGGGCTAAGACGACTAGAGGGAGGAGATCTTCTGGGGAGGGGAGGGTGTGGAGAAACCCAAGTATGAAACTGTCTAGGGCTTGGGTTCCTCTTGTCAGAGTTAGCCTGTCTGTTCATTTTGCCAAGACCCAACTGAGTTTAGGAAGTTATCACAGATTCCCCGGGGTCCAGCTCAGGGTACCAGCCAAACATGGAGGCTACTCTGAGAAAACCCATGAGATTCTTCTCTGTACCCTCTCTTGAGGAGTATACCTTAGCTCCTTGTTCTGAAACTCTCAGAATAGACGAAGTGAGACCTAGCCTCTGGAATGGAAGTGAAATATGTAGAGAAGCAGGCTCTCTGAATGGCCAGGGCTTCCTGGGGGACTGAGGGATAGTGTGAGGAAGCAGTGACAGCCAGCCTTCTATGTACATGTATGGTGTGGTGTGTGAACACTTGTGTACTTTACCCCACACTTTTGATCCAACTGACTTCTTGGCCCAGATGCCAAGGCCCTGGTGGGCAGGGTAAGAACTGAACCCAGGTCTTTGCTGCCCCTGCTCTCCTGCGAGTGAGGCAAAGTCCAGAGGTTGAGTTAGGCCCTAGGGAGGGGGCATTAATTGGAATGTGGGTTACAGGGAACCCCTTCTGAATCAGGGAAGAGAAAAAGGGGGTAGAGGCCCACATTAGCTCCTGTGAACAAGATCATCAGGTTTCTTGTGGACTTTGGAGTGAGGGCAGTGCCTGGGACTGAGAATAACATCTATTTCTTCTCTACTACCTGGGCCTCCAGGACAGAGGGTGGGACAGGGGTGGTAGAGTCTCTTCCACCCTTGAAGCCTGGCTGGCTCAGATAAAGTGAGGGTGGTGGGAGGGAGATTATGCTGGATCCTAAAGAGATAGGGCCCCACCCATTGCCTGTCTTCTCACTCTTGATTGTGACAGTTGTAGGGAGGGGTACACCCAAGCTGTTACCTCACAGATACATCCTCCTTGAGCCCCCAAAAAACAGACAAATCTGTTTCCTCACCATTTCTTGGACTTTGTCTTAGTTCCTAGAGCAGCAGAGCCTGAGGGGCGTGACCCATCTTGAGATGGATGAGGAGGAGGGAACCTTACTGCGTACCCCATCTAATAAAACCAAAAAACCAAACTCACTGCCATCAAGTCAGTTTTTACTGTAAATCTATGTGGGAACAGACAGCTCCAGTTTAGCAGCTCAACACCTAACCCACAGTGTCAGCAGTTGTTGTTAAAGTGTCTATAAGTTGGTTCTGACTCATAGTGACCCTATATAGGGTTTCCAAGGAATGACTGGTGAGCTTGAACCGCTGACCTTGCGATTCAAACCAACCTCCTCCATGGGTGGCCAAAATCATCAGCCATGATAAAAACCACTTTTCCTTCTTCCGTCCCTTATTTCAGGGGCAGATGGGTAGTAAGACTAGATTTGCTGAGTGCTCTGAGAGCCCAATAAGAGGGCCACGTGGTAGGCACGACCTGTCTGGAAGGTTAGAGTGCCTCCATCTTAACTTCTCTCCTCTTTTCTCCAGTCTAACTTCCTGGGGATTTCTTAAAGCACTTCACAATTAACCTCCAGGACTCTAGGATTTTTTGCCCCCAGGTTCCTTCCCTTTTTTCTCTGCTTCCTGTTTCACAATCCCAGAAAACCTGAGCTGCAAGAGGGCCTCACCCCTCTTTCCCCTATCTCTGTCCCTCCCCCACATCTAGGCACCACCTCCCTCTTTTTTGCCTCTCGGACTTGCCACACTTTCCCGGCCCCAACTGTCTGCTGCCCCAGATTTTCCTGTTCCTGGGTCAGGTTGGGCCCTTGGCCCTGGGTGTGGTGGTCAGAGCCTTGGCAGGCAGCCAGTGTGGGTTTAGTCTTCCCCACTTTCCTTAGTGCTGGGCAGGTGATCTTGGGCCTGTGTTTGGTGTGAGGTTTGGAGAAAGGTGTTCAGTCCGTACATGAAAACTTCAGACCTGGAAGAGTAGCCATGGGCCCCTGGAAGATGGCAGTTTATTGTTCTCAGGCCTGTCTGATGGAGCCAGACGGATGCAGAGGGTCTGGGGTGAGGGTAGGAGTAACGGATGGGATGGGGTAGGCCCTGGGCCCACCCCTGAACAGAGAATAACTTAGCAGAGAATAACTTTTTGGACCCTTAGACTTAAGGGTACTGGCGCCTCCTCCCTATTGGCCAGTGGAGGCAATAGAGTAGGGTCCCCAGCATTTATCTGGCCCCACCCTGACCCACTTAGCTTTGACTCACTCATTCTGAGTCACAGCCTGGATATAAAGACATTGCCTGGGAGACATATGTCTGTACTGGGGGCACAGGGGTCCCATGAGACTTCATATTATTCGTGTTTAGGAAGAACCTCTTTTCCAAATGCAAGAAAAGATATTTCCTTTGTAGCTTGAGCAATGAAGGCTCCACTGCAATGGAGGTTTCTCCCCCTTTTTATTTTAATGAGAGCTTGGAGAAGTTCACCTCTTCTGCCCCTCACCCCACAGGTTCCTACCCTTAAGGTGAGGCTGGGGAAATGAATGCCCCCTGTGGGGTAGATGCCCATCTGCCCAGGCCCCTGTCTTCTTCCCATTACACCTACCCTTCAGTTGGCTAGAAATAAGCAGAGCAGGTATATCTGGTGTGTCTCGTTCCTTCTATTTTTATTTCCCATCTAACCCTTTTGTTTCTCCCTCACCTCTGGAGCTGGGCAGCTGGAGGCCTCCTGGGTCCCTTGCCACACTGTGTGGCTCCCACACTTCTGTGGGCCTGATTTCCACGGGAAGCTAGGATGGCAAAAGACAGATGGCTAGATCGCTGCTTTGCAGTGAGTGTAAGCCTTGAGAGAACCTCGTTTCTCCTCATCACTGGCGCTTCAGCCTTTTTCCTGAGCCTCAGTTTCTCCCTTTCATCACACATTTATTACCGGCATAATAAGTCCCTGGCTCAGTTCTGGGCACTGAAAATGCAGAGATCAAAGTTCCCTGCCGCACACTCAGCCTCAAACGCTTAGATCCCTGCACACCCCGCCCCCGCCCCTGGTTCCTGGTGCAGTAGATCTACCCAGAAGAGAGGCCTAGGGAAGGGCTTTTGCTATTATTGTCCTTTGCCTGTCTCCTGGGATCTCTAAGCCCTGGAGGCTCTCTCTCTTTTTTTTTTTCTTTTTTTGCTTCCCCTCTCTGAGAAGGGGGTGGGGAACTGCTGGTTAACAGGACCCAGGTGTCCTGAGCAAGGACTGGCCCACCCACCGTAGGTTTGGCTTGTAGAGCCCCAGCCCTCCTGTCCTAACTGTGGTTTCCAGCACAGCCAGGGACCCAGGTGCCAGACTCCAGACTTGGGGGTGGGGTGTGTTAGTGTCCCCTCCTCCCTAATCTGGGGGGAGGGGCAGTCACATTCCTGGTTGCTGAGTGGCCCCAGGGGCGGGGTTGGGTTGTCATGACGATGGAGATCCTGTTTGTAGGGGGATAAGCGTGCCTTTCTACCCCCTACACTCACACTCCAGAGTCTCCTAGTCGTGGGGAGGGCCCAGTTTGTGCCAGGACTTTCTGAGGGGGATGGGCTGGACCTCTGCCTTCAGAGGCCATAGGGCAAGGGGAAAATGTCCAGGAGCCTGAAGTCTCTATGCCTGGGGCAAGATGTCCCTCAGATTGATTCCTGGGCCCCCCACCTCTTTCTCTGGGTGTGTTTCAACTCATTCCCAGTCTCCCTGCCTCACTAGGCCCCTAGTCAGGCATTGTGCCCCATCACTGTGTGCTAATCACTACCTTGGCCTGTCTATTTCTCTCCTATCTGCGCCTGGGGCCCCCAGTCGACATGGCCACCTGGCCTCTGTCCGGCGGGAAGCCAGCCACTAAGGGTTACTGCAAGTGTTGCTGGGAGTTGTAGTTTTTCCCCCTCCCACAACTCAGCCTGTTCTGGGCTTCCAGGGCCTGATCTGGGAGAGGCAGCTGCTCCCTCCATTTCCCTGCCTTATGACCTCTACTTTTCAATTCCTCTACGTCAGTGATCCTCTGGCCCCCAGAATAGGGTAGGTCTGAAACTTGGCTCCTATCCTTTCCCTGTTATCGTGGACAAACCACTATCCTTTTCTGGGCCTCAGTTTCTTCATCTGCTAGATGCAGGAGTTTGAATATATCAGTGTCTATCAGAGTGTCCTCCAGGAAACTTTTAGGGCTGCTACTACAGGGGGAACTTCAAAAGGCAGTACCTTGGCCTCACCCCTCTACTTCAACCAGAGCAGCCAGAATTTACTTATTTCATAAATTTGTTCAGTAAATATTTATTATGCACATACTGTGTGCCAGGCACTGTGCTGTGTGTAAAAACAGACTTGGACTCTGACCTCAGGGTCCAGATAGACATAAATCAAATGACAATATGAATATGATGGGGCTTCAAAAAATTCATGGAAAAATAGAATGAAAAGATAATGCATTTTTTCCCCCCTGAACTTTTTGAAGCCCCCACCTTTTGTATGTAAAATTGGGATTGTAAAAAGTGCTGTGAGGAGAGAGGGTTTATGGCTCCCTGGGGAACTGACTGGGTTGGGAGAGATGGGGAAGCTTTTCTGGAGGAAGTGAGAGGGTGGAGCTGAGGTTGGAAGGGTGGAAGATCAGCAGTGATGAGAGCGGAAGGGCAGTGGGCTGGGAGAAGAGGAAAATGGTTAACACCTGTGCAGAACCCACTATGTGCCAGGCTATGTGTGCATTTCATCCTCACAAGCCCGTGACTTCGTGTTATGATGATTACTATTTTGTAGTTGAGGAAATGGAGGCATAAGGTCACACACATTTGGTGGCATTGTTGGGATTCTGACACAGAGAAGATGAGGAAGGTCCTAAAGTCATGAAAAGTCATTTCAAGCCAGGGGCACTCTGGCTGCAGTATGGAGAATGAATTGTAATGGGCAGGAGTGAAGACTGAGAGAAGAGATGGAAGTTATGATTTTATTCCAGGCAGAAGTCGACAGTGGGTGGTTCTAGGTGACAGCATAGATAAGGAACTTTATGAAGAGGTTCTGGACATGTTGGGAGACAGAATGGATGCTGTTTGATTTGTGAAGGTGATAGGGTAACTCCTGAGTGTTGGTTGATCTTGCATGTCTGATTTCACTTGAACAAGGAATCCACTGCTAAAAATAGCTCAGAAATCACCTTGGTTGTCTTTTGGGTCTTTCCCAGTCTGGTTTTAGACAAATGTACCTTAGAATTCAGCCCCTGCCTCAAATTTCTGGCTTCAGGACCCCAGCTCCCACTTACTTCCCTCATCTTACTTGCAGATTGACGAGATGCCTGAAGCTGCAGTGAAATCAACAGCCAACAAATATCAAGTCTTTTTTTTCGGGACCCATGAAACGTGAGTAAGGGGCCAGAGGTGGGGAGGACTATGGGATGCGCACTTTGGGGGAGATGTGGGACAGTACTGGGGAGGAAGCCCCTGCTCACAGACAGTGAGGCACTAGAGAGCACAGTCTCCCATCTCTCATCAGGGCATTCCTGGGCCCCAAAGACCTCTTCCCTTATGAAGAGTCCAAGGAGAAGTTCGGCAAGCCCAACAAGAGGAAAGGGTTCAGCGAGGGACTGTGGGAGATTGAGAACAACCCTACTGTCAAGGCTTCTGGCTACCAGGTGAGTTTCCATTTACGCCAGAGACCCCCTGGAAAGCAGGTGCGGCTATCATGGGCTCCGGGAGCCCAAAGCCCACAGAGGGTACTTACTAGTCTTCAGGAATCAAGCTTCAGAAACAAACACAAGGGTTTGGGGGTAGGAGCCCATCTGGGGGTGTCTTCCTGAAACGGAGTGGGGTTGGTTGTGTGTGGGTACCTGATGTGTAGTTATGGTTATGGGCAACAATTTTCGGCTGGGGCGGGGGCAAGAACAGGATAAAGGCGGTAAGTGGGGAACAGGTCTTTTGTTGGGCCCAGTGTAAGTACAGGTTGTGGCCCTGACTTTCCTCAAAGGCTTCCAGGAGGAGGAGGTGCTTGTGAGCCGGGCAGGACGAGGCGGGAGGGTGGGGGGCGGGGTTTGGCGGGGATAGGGTCCCAGCTCCCTTTGGGAGAAGTTGACCCGAGGTTTTGCCTCCTGCTCCAGCCCTCCCCCCTCCTGCACAGAGCCCTGCCTGCCCGGCCAGTGGGTTTGCCCCGGGGCTAATCCAACAGAGGTGGGTCTCAAATCACTTGTGAGACTGGGCACCTGGGTGGGGGTGGGGGAGAGGTGGGAAAAAGGAAGGAGTGAGTGGCCAAGGGAGGGACTTGGGGTGGTGGCCCAGCACAACACTAGTAGTACCACTCAGCTCCTGCTCTCTGCCAAAGTCCTCCCAGAAGAAGAGCCGTGTGGAAGAGCCTGAACCCGAGCCCGAGGCCACTGAGGGTGATAGTGACAAGAAGGGGAACGCTGAGGGCAGCAGTGATGAGGAAGGGAAGCTGGTTATCGATGAGCCTACCAAGGAGAAGAATGAGAAGGGGGCGCTGAAGAGGCGAGCAGGAGACCTGCTGGAGGTAACTGCTCCCTAGTTTGGGCCTGGACCCCCTTGAGCATTTTCTGTGGGTCATCCCTACAGGAACAGACTCTGCCTTAGAGAACACCTAGTCTGAGAGAATGATACAGCCCTTAATCTTGCGGAGTCCCCACCTGAAGAAGGCATTTCAGCTAGTAGATGGCTGGGAAGGGATTGTAGAGTCAGCCCAGGAGGGAGCGTTGGAGGAGGAGTGGGAGGCTGGCATTCCACTCTCTCCAGCCTCAGCCTACCTTGTCTCTGCCAATTCTACCTAGGACTCCCCAAAACGTCCCAAGGAGGCTGAGGACCTGGAAGGGGAGGAGAAGGAGGCAGCCGCCTTGGAGAGTGAGAGGCCTCTCTCTGCAGAGGTAGAGAAAAATAGCACCCCGTCTGAGCCTGGCTCTGGCCGGGGGGCTCCCCAGGAGGAGGAGGAGGAGGAAGAGGAGGAAGAAGAAGAAGCTGCCAAGGAAGATGCTGAGGCCCCAGGCATCAGAGATCATGAGAGGTGAGTGAGCCCCATGCCCCCTTGGCAGCTAGGCTGGGAGGCCCCAGGCACCTTCAGAGAGGAGGAGGAGGAGGACCTGCAGTGGTCAGCCTGTAGGGAGGCAGGGTGGGCTCTCCCAGGAGACCGACCGATACTGACTGGGGCAAGACCAGTCCAAGGCCACACCATTAATCCTTCTCCCCTCCAACCCTCCCTTGCAGCCTGTAGCCACCAATGTTTCAAGAGGAGCCCCTACCCCGTTCCTGCTGCTGTCTGGGTGCTACTGGGGAAACTGGCCATGGCCTGCAAACTGGGAACCCCTTCCCCACCCCACCCCTCTTCCACTCACTCTCCCATTCCAAGCCTAGCCCCAGGCCCCCTGGCCCTCACCTCGGTGTCCCCACACCCCTGAGATCTAAGTCAGGGCCATGCTATCTGCTCCCTGGGATGAGAGGAGATCATTTTTCTTCTTTGACTAGAGCTGTTTTCCCAGGACTTGGGGACCTGGGCCAGTTTTTCCAAACTCTTAACACCCCTTTCCCTCTCCCTCAGGCATTCTGAAACTTTGGGTCAGATCAGGGGTAGAAATGGAAAGGCTAGAGGATAAACAACAGGGTTGAACACCCAGGAGCCTGGATGGGATAACCCTCAAGTTATGGTTAGGGGTCAGGGGCAGGAAGGTGGCCTTTTCCTGAGCTCCAGTCCCCACTCACACCTATTATCTCTGCTGCCTAGATTCAGAAAAATGGGACAGCTTATGGGGGATGGGCTACCTTCACTTGGGAAATGCCCATTCTTCTTTTTGCTAACCCAGGAAGTTCTGGGAGTTGTAGTTTATCATCAAAAGTTTTGGGCCAAGAATCTGAGATCTAAAGGGTTGACGTCACTCAGCTTGGATGGGAGTGAAAAGCATCTGCCCCTTCTCATCTCTGGTACCAGAGATGGGACACCCTGGGGAGAACCTAGCTGCCCTTTGCCCTCTCCCCACAAGCACTCAAGGCCAGCCTACAGTCATATAAATCACCCAGATACAAAGGAAAAGAACACATTTTTTAGGAAATGTTTTTAATAAAAGAAAATTACAAAAAAAAAAAAAAAATTTAAGGATTTCCCCCTTCCCTTTGTGTGCCCCCACTTTGCTCCTTTATTCCTCACCATTGCCCCCATTTCTGAGGTTCACTGGGAGGCTCCCCATCTGGGGCTTGATGACTTTTTCTAGCTGGGACTTTGGTGTTCCTTCCAGTGTCATTCCCCATCCACACACCCTGACCTAGCCCCTCAATGTTGTCAACAGATCCGATTTATAACCAACTCTGAGAGGACATAGGGAAATAAGTGCCCTCTCCCAATCTCTTCCTGTGGTCTCTCTATGCCTCTCTTCGTGTCTTGTCTCTTCACCCTTGCCCCTCTCCCTTGGGCTCTGATGAAAAATTGCTGACTGTAGCTTTGAAAAAGTTTAGCTCTGAGAACCGTAGACAATTTCAGTTCTAGGAAAATAAAACCTGTTGATTACTATATTGGATTCTGACTGATTCTTTGGGAGTGTATTGGCTATGTGAAGAGGGGGCTTGGGGGATGGGGATATAAATGATTTACAGATCAACTCAGATGAAGTAGCGCTGCCAGTCTTCCTCCATTCTCCGTGTTAGAAATTCAAAATTCTAGATGAAGACAGAGTCCCGGAACATACCACACCATTCATTGTTCTGTCCAGCCACTGTTTGACACTGGTTCCTCCATGAGAATCTAGGGGTCAAAACCCACTGCCATGGAGTCAATTCCCATTCATAATGACCCTATTGGACAAGGTAGACTGTTCTATAGCATTTCTGAGGCTGTAACTCTTTAGGAAAGCAGACTGCCTCATCTTTCTTTTGAGGAATGGTTGATGGCTTCAAACCAACAAACTTATAAACCAGCAGCCCAATGCTTAACCTACTATAAGTCATAAGGAGTAGTGCAAGTTATCAGCCACAGCCTTAGATGACATCGGAAATGGGAATATTTGGGCTGGTGGTAAAAATTCAGATCCCAAGGGCAGACCTTGTTAAGTGCCTTCAGTTGGTTCCAGCTCGCAGTGACCTGTATAGAGTTTCCAAGGCTGTAAATCTGCGGGAGAAGAAAGGTTCATCTTTTTTCCATCGACCTAGGGATGCCTTAGGAAAAAAAAAAGTCATCAGGTCAATTCTGACTCATGCTAGTAAGTACCATTAAATAGGTTCTGACACCTTGTCAGATGTGCTGTTTTATAGTCACAGGTTCCCATTCATACAGCAGAACGAAAATGCTTGGTCCTGTACTATCCTCACAATTGTTACATTTGAGCCCATTGTTGCAGCCACTGTGTGCATCTATCTTGTTGAGGGGTCTTCTTCACTGACCCTCCACTTTACCAAGTATATTCTTCAGGGACTAGGTCCCTCCTGATAACATGTGCTAAGTATGAGAGATCAAGTCTTGCCATCCCAGCCTCTTAAGCATTCTGGCAGTCCATGGTATTAATATTTTTCGCCAAGACCATAATTCAAATACATCCGACACATAGCGACACCCTGTATAGGGTTTCTGAGAAGCAGCTGGTGGATTAGAAGCACCACCAACCTATAGTGTGGCATCAGAGTTTGCGAGGCTTAAATCCATGGAATACCAATCTTGTGGTTAGCAGTCCAGAGTTTATACTGTGTGGGTAGGTCGTCCTTTACTGGTGATCTGCAGGAGAGAGGGTGATAGAGTGGAATCGTCCCCGGTACTCCCTGAACTAAGTATGCCAGTAGTTACGATTTGGGGCAAGTTCATTACTCTTTCTCAATCTCATTAGCCTTTCCATCTGTAACTTGAATTTTTAAGTGCCATAGAGTCGGTTCCCACTCAAAGCGACCTATATAGGGTTTCTGATGAGGAACTGGTGGGTTTGAACCTCTAACCTTGCGGTTAGAAGTCCAGTGCTTATCCTATAGAGCCGTACCAGAACTCCATGTTACATGCATGGATGGCTGGATTCCTTCCAGATCTGACATTTTGCAATTAATGAGCAAGCATTGGAAGGGACCACGTTTCGTCCTTTCCTCTAGAAGTTTTCTTGACAGTTTTGGAATCTGTTCTGGCCCCTCCACAATAGAAGGGCGAGAAGAATACAAGAAGTAGTCTCGGCTGGAAAGGAGGCCCTTTGCCTAAAACAGGAAAAGAGAACCAGCTAGAAAATGGAGCCACGTTCCCAGTAACTACAACGCCCAGTCGCCTTCACGCAGCGCATACACAGAAGCGTGCTAGGGAGCGCAGCCTTCAACTCCCAATATGCTTCACGGTGCTAATTGCGTTTTTTGACTTCTCATCCGGCATATTTCCTGTTTCCAGCGTGCTTTGTAGCGGCGGACTACAGCTCCCAATAGACACAGAAGCTGAACTAACTGCTGAGCTTCCGCTGTACGATTAACCTACATTTCCCAGGAAGCCGAGGAAAAGGGGAGGGCGGGGCTGCGGACTCCGTTCTGTGAAGTGACAAGTTGTAGCTCCGCGGCAAACAGAGGTGAGGGCCGCGTGGCCCCAAAGCATTGCAGCCCTGGGGCTCGTCTAGGAAGCGAGTGCCGGAGGGCTCAGTTGCTTTCCTGGGGTGTCCTTACACCGGATGCTTGGAGTGGGTGGGTGTTGAATACTGCTGGGGCCTGGCGGTGTTTGGGATCAGGATCCACATACAGGATGGGACGGGCGGGAGGCAGCCCCTGGAGCTGGGGTTGGAGAGGGAAGACCCTACTAACTTGCCTCTAGGGTACGCTGTGAAAGCCCCACTGTGGAAGGGATCCCAGTTTCTTCAGGGTGTGGAGAAAAAGGTGAAGATCTAGTGGCTGTGCAAGCCGCTGTGCTCTGGGCTAGCTTGTGGAATGATCTCCCAGAGCCTTAGACCTAGAATGACTGAGGTTAACTTCTGGCAGCAGTCATGTAGGACAGTGAGCCCTTTAGGTTGGCCCTGCTCCTATCAAACTATGAACTAGCAAGTCATTCCAACTCCCAGGACTTTGATTTTTTTGTCTGTAAAACAAACTTTATGATATTGGTGCTTGCACTTGGCAACCTTTCTCACTGGGCACCTTGAAGATCAAATGCCAGTAATAGCGAAGTTTCCAGACTAGGTCTGTCACGTAGTGGTGCTCTTGAAACTTTTAATCAGAATGGGTATCTGGGATGCTTATAGTCACCAGCATTCATTCAAAATAACATTATGGTAGGTTTGTTGTTAAGTGCCATAGAGTCGGTTCTGACTCATGGATGGATGGAGGTGTGCTGTGGAGTTGGTTCAGACTCATAGAAACCCTGCATATAGGGTTTCTGAGGCTGTAAATCTTTACCAGAGTAGAAAGCCTCATCTTTCTCCCGTGGAGCAACTGGTAGTTTCGAACTGCTGACCTTAAAGTTAGCAACCCACCTCATAACCACTATGTTATAGCAACCCTGTATAGGGTTTACAAGGAGCAGCTGCTGGGTTTGAACCACCAACCTTGTGCTTAGCAGTCCAGTGCTGATCCTACAGCATTATACAAGTACATGCAGAGAAACCTGTGAGCGCCCTTATGAGATGTGACTGCTTTGTTTTCTGGGTCTTCCAGGTGTTTCCTGTTGACAGGGTGCAGTGTTAACTTTTCTATCACTTGTTTCCTTGAAAAATATCTTTTTTGACAGGTTATTAACCTTACACAGGTTCTGGCATTTTATAGACAGTTGTTAAGTGCTGTCAAGTGGATTTCAACTCAGAGCGACCATGTATAGGGTTTCTGAGGAGTGGCTGGTGAGCTTGAACTGCTGGCCTTATGATTCAAATCTACCTTGCAGTCTAGCACATTAACCTGCAGTGCCACACCAGGACTCCAGCCACTTCCCAGAAACCCTATACAGGGTCACTATGAATCAGAACTGACTCAATGGTACTTAACAACAACAAACAACATATATATGTATGTATGTATATCTGCATATGTATGGCACTGTGGGATAAGCACTTGACTGCAAGGTTGTTTGGTTAGAACCGCAAGGTCAGCGGTTCAAACTCACCAGCCACTCCTTGGAAACCTTATACAGGGTCACTATAGGTTACAGCTGACTCAATGGCACTTAACAATATAGAATAGTGGTTATGAGTTGGGCTGCTAACTTCATGGTCAGCATTTCAAAACTACCAGCTGTTCCAAAGGAGAAGATGCTTTCTGTTCCCATGAAACATTCTTGGAAATGCTCTGAGTCAGAATCGGCTCCACAGCACATAATCACTACAACCACCACATACACACATATATGTTAAGTGCTGTGGAGAGTCAGTTCAGACTAGTATCGACTCTATAGGGTTTTCAAGTAGCTGGTGGTTTTGAACTGCCAACTTTCAACTTGTGGTTAGCAGTCCAGTGCTTATCCTATAGCACCATATATACATATTTATATGTGTGTATATATACTGGTATTTATGTGTAGATATCATGTTTGGTAGGGGGAAGAGCAGAGAAAAAGGAATACTCCCCCCAGCAAAATGGATTGGCAAAGTGGCAGCATCAATGGGCTCACGCGTGGCAATGATAGTGAGGTTGGCTGAGGATCAGGCAGTGTTTCTCGTTCTGCTGTGCATAAGGTTGCTATGAGTCGGTACCAACTTGATGGCACCTAACAACATATACTGGTATAGTGCTGTAGGATAAGCACTGGACTGCAAACCACAGGTTGGCAGTTCAAACCCACCAGCTGCTTCTCAGAAACCCTGTCAGGGTTGCTAATGGGTCAAAATCGACTAGAGGACACTAATAACATAAAATGTATTTACGAGCCAACATCTCACTGCTCAGATAAAACTATTTCTTTAATGTACATGGTGTGTTGTGGTTATGTGCTGTCAAGTCCGTTTAGACTCATAGCAACCCTGCATAGGATATCCGAGTAGTTGGTGAGTTTGAACCACCAACCTTGCGGTTCAAACTAACTTTATGGTCGAGTGCTTAAAATGAAAATTATGGAAAGGAACAGCCTTCCCAAACAATTCGTCTCCACAAAAACAAGGACTTTAGTTGCTTCTTGTTTTCTTCCCCAAAATATCTATTCCTGTGCTGAAATACATACTTTAATTTATCCAAAAGGGATTATACTATTAATTTTATTCTGTACTTTGCTTTGTTAATATTTAAATAACATCAACAACCCTGTAAATTTTTATGAATGAAGAAATTGAAGCTCAGAAGATGGCAAAGCAGGGGCTAGAACCCAAGCCATCTGACTCCCAGTCCCTGGTGATTTATACCATTTCCATGCATTTATTTGTAGTTTCAAAGTTAGGACTTCATTCTTATAGTACCATCTTCACTGATTTGTTCTTAGACTTGAATCAGATAATACAAGATTTAAGCCAGCCTCCAGCCATGCGTCTCTCTGCTCTGCTGGCCATGGCATCCAAGGTCAATCTGCCTCCCAACTACCGCTATGGGATGAGCCGCCCAGGTTCCCTGGCAGACAAGAGGAAGAACCCTCCGGGGACCAGAAGGCGCCCAGTAGCTGTGGAACCTATCTCTGATGAAGACTGGCATTTGTTCTGTGGGGACATGGTGAGCACCTCAGACAGGAGATAGAATGGTAAGTTGCTCCTGGGCAACAGTCCTCCTCCCTGATAAAAGAGTCTTGTCTTCCCACAGGTGGAAGTCTTAGAAGGGAAGGATGCTGGGAAGCAAGGCAGAGTGGTTCAAGTTATCCGGCAGAGAAACTGGGTTGTCCTGGAGGGGCTGAACACAGTAAGTGAAGGGGGAAGATGGGAATGGTCGAGAAGCCTGTCTCATCTGTCCCTCTCTATTAGGAGCAGTGCAGGGAGGCGGGAGACTGGAAGAAGGGACGGTAGAATGACTGAACACTTCTACTTTTCAATTGGGGCTTCATGCTCTGAGTAGTAGTGGGAAGCCCCTTCATATCCCTTAGTTTCTGGTTTTCCCCCCTTCTTTTGGACAGCATTATCGCTTCATTGGCAAGACCAAGAATTACCGGGGAACCATGATCCCAAGTGAAGCCCCACTACTTCACCGCCAGGTCACACTTGTGGATCCTGTGGACAGGCAAGCAAATGGAGCTCTGGGTCAGGGTTTAGTATCCTCTGAGTCAGCCTAGCTTTTGAACACAGCAAGGGGACAGACAATTTCTCCAGTAGAAAAGGAGAGGGTACAGAGGTCGAGGCAGTATCAGCAGATAAGATAGTAGGTTGGATGCTTTGGAAATTGGAAGGGGCCATCTCATGGTAACCCCGGTAGAAGTAGCAAAGAAAGTAAGGTGGCACTCTTGGTGTTTTCAGCCATTGACTACTATTGGGGAGGAAGATAGCAAGGGACCTGGCTCCTAGACCAAGCTCACTTCTCCTATCCCCCAGGAAACCCACTGAGATAGAATGGAGGTTCACTGAGGCAGGAGAGCGAGTACGGGTCTCCACGAGATCAGGAAGAATTATCCCAAAGCCTGAATTTCCTAGAGCTGATGGCATCGTCCCTGAAACATGGACTGGTGAGGCTGGGTGAGGGGCAGGAAGATGGGGGAGTGAAAAGAAGGGATGTTAAAAGACTGAAACTGGAAAGTTCATCCACTGCCTTCTTTCCTCTGGTCCAATAGATGGCCCCAAAGACACATCAGTGGAAGACGCTCTTGAAAGAACCTATGTGCCCTGTCTAAAGACACTGGAGGAAGAGGTGATGGAGGCAATGGGGATCCAGGAGACCCGGAAACACAAGAAAGTCTATTGGTATTGAGCCTGGGGAGAGAGCTTCTCCCCAACTTCTCTGTCTTAACCTTGGAGGCTATGGCTACCACTTCTCTAGATTGCAATAAAGAACCAAGAGTCTTCCTCTGTTTGTTGTCTGACAAGACTGGTACCCCCAACACCTAGGTTTCCAATAGGACAAAATCTGGATGGAAGCTAGCCAGCCTTAAGAAAGCCCACCTAAGGGCAGGGCCTGTGGATTCTGGGATGGAGACTAAAGGGAGGGATAGCTTCTCTTTTGGAGACCATTTTGTAACAGAAGCCCCATTAGGAGGACAGTGGGGGCTGGGGTGTTAGATTTAATCATATGGCCTCCATGGGATTTCTGTAGGAAGGATGCTTGTCTGTCTTTTTTTAATATTAGAGAAATGGAAGGAATAAAAATGACAATTTTTTAATAAATTAAAAAGATAATCTTACATCATAGCCTATAGCACATGGAGAGAAGGGTATGAAACACAAGACTTGTAGGGCACCAATGTTTCAGGGAGGGTGAAGGTGCTAGTGTTCTGGGTGAGGAGGTACAGACTCTGCCACCCACCGTGGTGCGGTTGGTTTCAGACAGGATCCGAGATGTGCTCTTCCTCAGGCTTTGTCAGCTGTCCTCAGTTTCCAGGGCAGAGAAGGCCTGACCCAGGGGCGTCTTGGTGGCCACCAGAACCAGGTTTCTGGGAGAGAGTTCAGGGCTGAAGAGAGGCAGCAGCTCAGCATGAAAGCCTGGGAGAAAGGCAGGCTATTCAGAAGGTGAGAAACAAGCCCAAGCCTCACACAGCCACTTCCTGCACAGCCTGTAGACACAGCCCCTCTCCTCCAGTGGGGAGGCTCCCAGAGGGCTAAGGAGACCCAGTTCTCTGTTAAGAAGCATGGGTGCTCTAGGCCCTGACTTGTAGAAGCCCTCATGTAGGTTCTCAGCCTGGGAGGCTTACTGGATGGATCCCCCAGAGGCTGCTTCAGGAAGAATCTGCCTTTTTAATAAAAACCCCACTCCTACCCGACTGGAAGTTCAGGAATGACAGAGTGAAGAGCCAGTCCCAGCAGATGTGAGGACTGGGGCTTACAGGAGGAGCCCCTGCACTCGTCCCTCTGGCCCTGCGCCCTCACCCTGCTCCTGAAGGTAGAGCAGCCGGTCCAGCAGAATCAGCGTCTCCACCAGTGGGGCCAGCAGTAAGGCCAGGCTGAAAAAGGCTACCACTCGGTGCTCCTGGGCCTGGTGGGCCTGAAGGGCAGCCAGATTCAGGGGCAGCTGGGGATCCAGCCCCACTCGCTGCAGCCCCCGTTGCACATATCTGTGGAGCCAGCCATAGACAGTGTGCAGTTTGGTTTCAGGGATCACACACACAAACTTTACCTATTCCTAATTAAATTCTAACTTTGCTTGATTTGCTATACTAATAGACATTTCTAAATGTTTCTCTGTAAACTAGGGATAAATGAATCCAAAATTTTACTATCAGCTAGTTCTATCCAATTATATGCCATATTTTTAGCACTTTAAAAGCTCGGTATTTTTTGATAAATTCTTCTGATAAAAGAGTGATGTCATTAAGTGTCATCCAATCTATAGTGACCTGGTGTGCTGCTGTGGGTTAGTGCACCAGACTGTAGAGTTGGTGGTTCACGTTCACCAGCTGCTCCTCACAAATCCTATACAGGGTGGCTATGGGTTGGAACCGACTCGACAGCACTGTTTCCAAGGAGTAGCTGGTGGGTTTGAACTGCCAAATTTGCATTTAGCAGCCCAGTGCTTATTCTAGTGCCTACCACAGCAGGACTCCTAAAGAGTGATAATCCCCTTTAAAGGAATTTGGAGGAGCTTCCCAGTCAGAGAACTCAAAATCCCTCTCCTGTGCACTTTGAGACTTTTTGTAGGACGTGCTAACAAATGAGAGTGAGAGACCTCTAGTTGGTGATGCCTCCTTTACACACACATACACCCCTACTTCCCTGAATCTTACTCTTCAATCTTGAGCTCGTGAACCCTGGGGATCCCCTGCACGCCTGGTCGACGGAGCTCAGGCTGGGCACACCGGATGACAGTCTCTAGGGCTGCCCGGTAGCAGTGGGTTCGGAGGCCAGGACCTGCTTTCTGGAGCCGCTCAGCATACTCCTCCAGGGCATGGCAGGCCCCTTCCCGAAGCCTGTAGGGCAGTTCATAGCCAGGCAGGCTAGCGACCCAGTGGCTCAGTGGGTAACCACCAGGATCACTCAGTTTCATGTAGCAGCTGCCCACTGAGGCCAGGGCTGTCACGTCAGGGCAGCAGGAGAAGTGCTTCAGCAAGGCTACACTCAGATCCCCACAGGCATGGAGGCCTGTTAACAGCAAGCGGGCCCTACCCTGAGGTGAGGGCTCCAGTGGAAGCAGCAGCTCCTCACACAGAGCTGTGGGGTCTACCCACCTCACCACGTGGTGTGGGGGGTGGCGAGAGTCAGCTTGGACCTGTGGAAGCAGAAAAGGATACGGAGCAGATGGGAAATTTGGCAGGAAGGGATCTATCCTCTCCCACCTTGCAGGAAGGTGGGAGAGAAGCTGAAGGTCAGGAGAGACCCGGGCTATTAACCAAGAGACAAGAGAAATTCTGGGTCTATCATTAACAACTTTGCAAACTTTTTCATCTTAAAGTCTGTTTCCTCATTTGTAATATGTGTGTAATACTTGCCTGATCATATCACAGGTTGCTGTGGGAAGGACGTATCCGTGTGGAAAGTACTGGATAACCTAGAAAGTGCCCTTGAGATGTGGGAGGCTTGGCGGGGGGCCTCAGGAATAAGGACCATGCCATCTCAAGCTGAGAAACTTGAAAGAGGGAATTCAGCCTTGGTGCTTGATGCCAGTCAAGTGGACCCTGCTCTTTGCAGTCCTGGGAAGGGATGGCATACCTGTGGATTCCTCTTCTTTTCTTTCTCCAGAGCCTGCAGGAGCTCCTGGTCCAGGCGCTGGGCTCTCTCCACTAGTCTTTGATCCCCTTCAATGCTCTTCACCAGCAGCCCCAGCCCCAGAGACATGAAGCGGGAGAGGTGGCCCTGGAGTCATGAGAGGGAGGGCAGAGGCAATGTTTTCTGGCAGCCTGTCCTGTCATCCTACCTATTAAGTGGCCAGCACACTCGGGTGAGGAGTGGAACCCTCACAGGTTTAAATCCTGCTCCTCTCAGGATCGATAGCCACCTTGTTATCCAACTTTTTTGTCTCCACGATTCAAAAGAACCGTGATAGGGTTCTGGCTCACCTGGCCTGAGCCCACGTCCACAATCTGGGTGCAGCCTGTGAGATCACTCAGCTTCTTCACCAACTGAAAGCAGAGGAAGCAGAGGTTTTTGGTCCATTGTTCCTTGACTCCTGGGGCAAGCATCCATAATGAGGGTGGAAATGTTGAGGATGGTAGAGGATGGATGATGGGTAGAGAGGGAACTGCCAAAAAGGCAAGAAATATGGAAACCAAAATGGGGGGTGAGAGGAGGGTGAGTGCTGACATCAGGTTCAGGCCACTCTTTGTTCCCTTTGGATCAGTGATTCAACCTCCCCCAGAGAACAAGAAAGAAGAGTCTTGCTGTGAAGCCCCTTTGAGTAGGCTGTGGAAATGGGAGACAGATGAGGAGTAAGAGTGGTTCATAGTCACCAATCAACCAAGCAAGAGGATGAAAAAAATACCAGCATTGAAATATGCTTATAGTATGTCTGCTGAGACAGTGACCTTCTAGGGTTTTTGGTCCTGCATGTGAGCGAAGGGGCACACACACATATTTGTACCCCATGGATTTAAGGGGTTCAAGGGCTCCCAGATATCACCTGTACCCCCAGCCACCTTACCTCGCCCAGTCTCCGGATCTCATGCTGCTTCTTGGGCCTGACATGTTTCCGGAACAAAGGAGTCAGTCGGGAGCTCTGACTAGGGTTCTCCAGGAACTCTGAAGGAGTCTGGAACCCAGGTGTTCGGGTAAAAGCCAAGGCAAAGGCTGTGGACTTCAGGGCCAGCAGAGTGAGTGGCCACACTGACCTGTACCTGAGATAGCCCAGTCATGCCTCAGTGAAGTTCCATTGCATCCTTGGCATACCAGTTTACCACCCAGGGAGCCAAGGAAACCCCTGTGAAACTCTAAACAATGACTAGCTAAAGGGCTCAATGCCAAAGTCCCCCGCTGGTCCATACCTGACCACCTCCCCTTCCCCAGGCATCCCCAGCAGCAGTGTGGCCAGCTGTGGTGGGCTCAGGCTATCTAGTGCTTCCTGCCAAGAGCAAGGGAGTGTGCTCCACAGGTTGTCTGTGAAAAATTCCTGCAGAAGGAAGAGAAAAGAAATCAGCAGACTACTACCATTTCCAGTCTTCCCTCCCCACCTTATCCCCTGTGGCTTCCTAGCACAGCTGCCACACAGGACCACTGGCTGCAACCAGCAAGGACCTCTACTCATTCAAGTCACCTCTTGTTCCAGCTCCACTACCCCTCTCCCAGACTATCCCTCAGTGGCTGACTGCTTCTTCCTGGCATTCTTGATGCTCCTCTTCTTTTAGCTATTTCCCCCACTTATTTATAAGGTGTCTTACTTTCTCCTTTCAACTGAATTTCTAAAGAAAAGATAATGTCTTGCTCACATCTGTGTCCCCAGCACTTGCTGTCATAACTAACACACAATAATAGTGTGTTACCATTTAGTAACCTATCATTATATGGGCCAAACCTTTGTGTATGTTTATTCATTTGTTTGTTCAACACAAATTCTGGAGCTTTAATTATGCACTAAGCACTATTCTAGGCTCAGGGGATGCAACAGTGAACCAGACAAACAAGATTCCTGTTCCTGTTGAGTTTACATCAAAAAAAAAAAAAAAAAATTCAGGAAATACTAAACACTAATGAAATAAAAATGTAAAGGAGAGTGGAGGAGATTATTATTTTGGATAGGAAGATGAGAGGAGACATGTGAATGATGAACAGGAATCAGACAAATAAAGAAAATACAGATATTAGCAAACACATAATACTTTTGTATGTCAGGCACCATTCTTAACATTTAATCCTCAAAACAACTCTATTGGTACTATTCGTATCCATTTTACAGGTGAGGACAATGAGGCACAACAATTAAGTAATTTGCCCCAATAAAAAAGTAAGTAGTAGCGCTGGAATTTGAAACCAGTTTGACTCTAGTGTCCCTGCTCTTAACCATTCTGCTCTGTTTCACTGTGGAAGAAAAGCACATTCCAGGCAGGGTAGTAAATACAAAGGCCCAGATGTTGCCATATTTGTGAAACAAAAATCAGGCTAATGTAAGTGAGGTATAGAGAATGTGGGGTGAGAGGAAATATGATAGGGAGGGAGCGGCAGCAAGGGCTAGACAGTGTAGGGTTTTATAAGCTACATTTTTAAAAAGGTCAATCTGTCTGCTCTATGAACTGGTTGGTTATGGAGGGCAGAAGCAAACACAGATCAATTAAGAAGCTATTATAGTAGTTCAGGGAAGAGATGGTGGTGGCATGGCCCAAGGTAGGGGCACTGGAGATGGAGAAAAGTAGATGACTTGGCTATCTTTTCTGGATGTAGAGCCAACAGGATACGTTGAAGGTCTGCTGAATCAAGGATAATGTCTGGATTTGAGATGTGTAACAATGATTAATGATGTTACACATTATTTAATCTTCATAGTAATCTTTCAGACAGTGATCCATTTTCTAGCTGAGGAAAGCAAGGAATAAAATGAATAAAAATGCTTAGGCCTAAAATAATTAAGACAGGATTCTAGTCTGTTTGATTCTAAAGCCACAACTGCTCACTATATCACAACAACCGTTTAATCAAAGCTTGGCTGAATGGACATCATCACACACTCCTACAAAGTTCAATGTGGCCACTGCGTGGCTCCCATCCATTCAGTTTATTACCTTGCATTTGGGCAAGTTTGAAAACTCTAAATATTAGAAATATTAATGTCAGCTGGGGAAAAGGAGCGGGGACTAATCCTAGTTTTTGTCATCCCAGACAAAAGCATGAAACTCTAATCTCTTTAATAAATGATGCTGGCAAAAATGAATATCCATTTACAGAAAAATGAAGCGGATTCATACCCTAACCTCATACCACACACAAAAATCAACTCACAATGGAGGGAAGATCTAAATGTTAAACCTGAAACTATAGAGTTCATGGAAGAAAACATAAGGACAAAGCTAGAGACCCTAATTTATGGCATAGACTATTAAACAAAACTAAAACGCACATGTTGTTGTTGTTAAGTACCAAGTACCGTGGAGTCGGTTCTGACTCATAGTGACCCTACATAGAGTTTCCAAGGCTGTAAATCTTTACGGGAGCAGACCACCTCATCTTTCTGCCACGGAACTGCTGGTAGTTTCAAACTGCTGACCTTGAGGTTAGCAGGCCGATTTGTAACCACTATGCTACCAGAGCTCCTAAAAAGTACATACAGCAGATAAATGAGATAACTTTTGCTGTTGTTAAGTGCTGTCGAACTGATTCTGATTCATAGTGACCCTGCAGAGGATTTCTGACTGGGACTTACTAAAAATAAAATACTTATGCTCACCCAAAGATTTAACCAAATGAATCAAAAGAGAACTACAGACTGGGAAAAAATTTTTGGTAATGACAAGGGACTAGTCACTAACATATATAGAAAACAGCAATATCGCAACACCAAAAAGACAACAATAAAATCCAAAATTGGGCAAAGAACATGAACAGGCACTTTACTTAAGAAGACATTCAAGTGGCTAACAAACACTCGAAAAGATGATCACAGTCATTAGCCATCAGTGATGCAAATGAAAACTACAATGAATTACCATATCTCCCTGGCAATAACGGTGAGGTTGTGGGGAAATTGGAAGTCTTATATACACACAGCTGGTTGTTGTTAAGTCTGGTCCTACTCATAGCAACTCTGTATAGGGTTTCCGAGGAGAAACTGGTGAGCTTGAACCGCCACCTTGTGGTTCAAACCGACCTTGCAGACCAGCACATTAACTCACAGAGCCACTCCATATATTGCTGCTGGTGGTGGTGGTGGTTATGTGCCATCGGTTCCAACTCATAGCGACCCTACAGTTAATAAAATGGTGCAACCATTATGGAAAACAGTATGGTACTTCCTTAAAAAATTAAAAACAGGAATACCATGTGCTCTAGCAATTCCACTCCTAGGTATATACCCTAGAGAAATAAGAGCTGTGACAAATAGACATATGCATGTTCAATGTGGCATTATTCGTAGTAACAAGAATCTAAATGTCTATCAATAGATGAATGGGTAAACAAACTATGGTGCATACATATAATGGAATACTATACAATGATAAAACCGACTCGACAGCACTTAACAACAACAACAATACAATGATAAATAATAATGAATTCGTGAAATATCTCACAAATGGGTGAATCTGGAGGACATTACACTGAGTGAAATAATCACAAAAGGACAAATATTGTATAAGACTATTATAAAAATTCAAGATTGGGTTTACACAAAGAAAGAAACTCTCTTTGATAGGAGAGAGAAGGAGGGAGACTCACTAGATAGCAGACGTGTTAATTCTAGTGGGGAAAGGCAATACACAATATGGGGTAAGTCAGCAAAGTGTGATGAAGGCAAAGGAAGATACTGAGACTTATGCAGGAACAAAAGGCAACTACGGTAAATACTATAACATATACAGTCAACCAATCTTGCAACAACAGGAATATCAAACATTTGTGAGTGGCTACATGAAAAAATGCCATTATCTTTTCATTCCATTTTTCCATGAACTTTTTGAAACCTCCTCATATAACAGAACACACAGTGGGCACAGTTAAAGAAAACTTCTCAGATATAATCAAACACCTTGCAGGACTGAGCTACTGGATTTGAGGGCCAAGGACCATAGTCCCGGGAAATCTTGGTCAATTGGCACATATATTGGTTCATAAACATAATGTTCTACATCCTAATTGGTGAGTAGTATGGGGTTCTAAAGATTGTGAGCAGTCATCTAAGATACTACTGATTTCTGGCTGTGTGAACCAGAGGAGAGTGAAGAAAACCGAAGACTCAAGGAAGCAATTAGCCCAAAGACTAAAGGTCCACATGAACCTATAGCCTCCTCTAGCTTAAAACCAGACCATCTAGATAGATAGTATCTGGCTACTGTTACTGTAACTGCTCTAACCAGGAACACACAATATATGATCTCAGAATGGTGAAAAATGTAGGACAAAATTCAAATTCATAAAAAGACCAGACTTGGTTTGGAATCAATTAGTCCAATGGACTAATGGAACATGTGAACATCAGTCTCCATGACTCAGAGGTGAGAACTAGTGCCCGGCTATCACTACCAACTACTCTGAAAGAGATCACGTTAGAGGGTCCTGGAAAGAGTGGGAGGAAATGTGGAACAAAACTAAATACTGAAAAAAAACAAAACATCCGTTTTACTGATGAGAAAGAGACTATGGCCTCAACTACCCTTCACATCTGGAAAGGAACTCGAACTCTCCCTTGTGGCCCAATTTTCAGCCAAGCAGTGGAAAGGTTTATGGGGTGGGGGTGGGGATAACAATACTAGAAAGGTATGCCCATCATGGAATGTCAATCATTCAAAATCCTAAGAACAAAGTTGAGAAGGGATGGGAGGGTAGGTGGAATGCATATACGAACCATAAAAGGAAGCAGGATAACTGTTGCTGCATGGAGGGAGTGGTAATCATTGAGATTAGCTATTGAATTTTGTCTGTAAACCTTTGCTCAATTCGCAAAAATTAAAAAAAAAAAAAGACCAGACTTACTGACTAAATAAGAGACTGGAGGAAATCCTGAGACTACTGCCCTAAGATATTCTTTAAATTTGGAACTGACGCCACTCCGGAGGCTCCCTTTCCATATATAAAAGTCAATACCACCCAAGAGGAGTGTGCTCCATAGAAAAATCAACTGTACTATACCAGAAGGGCAACGTTTGCCCATAAGCAAAGATGAGTAGGCAGGGAGGGATATGGAAACTGGAAGAATGAGGAACCCAGGGTGGAAATGGCGGGGAGAGTGCTGACACATTGCCAGGACTACAACCAATGTCATGGAACAATTTATGTATGACTTACTAAACAAAAAACGCATATGCTCTGTAAACTTTCACCTAAAGCACAATAGATGTTTTTTGTTTGTTTTGTTTTTTAATGACTGAAACCTATAGAAGAAACAGGACCAGAGATCAAGTCTCCAGTTTCTCTCCTTGTCGTGGGCTCCTAGCTAACCAAAGGACCAACATTTGCACCCAGCCCACACCCCTGCGGCCTCACGATGATGTAGGCGTCCAGGATGGAACGGTAGAGCGCCAGGACACGGGTGAGGTTCACAGCTAGTTGCCTCCTCTGTTCCAGAGAGAGGCCGCGGGCGGAGACCCCCGGCATGCCGGGGTCCTGCGGTGGAGAGGGATGCGAGAATGCGGTGAGGGAACCACGGTCACTACCACGCGGGTACAAGACCGGAGTTGGGCTCAGCTCTGCAGACGGGATGGGAAGCAACGGTTTCGGGTCCAGTGCCTGGCGTGGCGTTTCCGAGATCCCATTCTGGGGTTGAAGATAAGAGGTACCTAGCTGACGTCACAGGTCACGACATCTCACAGCGCTATGGTGTCAGTGTTGGCGGCAGGTAGGAGGGGCACCAGTATAATGACGCCACAGAACCGTGTCGCATGGCCACGCCCGCGAAGGGGTGGACCAAGTTCCAGATCCTGCCTCTTCCCATACACGCTCCTCCTCTCCCGGAAGTAGGGCCCAAGATCCTCGGCACGCTTCAGTTCTTGTTTGTGGAGGCTTCCTTACACCTTCGAGTTGTACCTCCACGGGGCTAGAGGGGCCGGGGAGCGCATCCCGCCCCCGCCCCCGCCCACACCGCCCCCTCCGCCACCGCCACTGCCGATCCTCACACACTCTGAATCCCTGGCCTCGCTTCCGGAGGTAGGGGCGCGTGGGCGCCGGCCCTCCGCGCGTTCTAACCCGCGCGCCTGCCGTCCAGGGCCTCGTCGACGCGCGCCGATTTCCGCATCCGGCTTCGGACGCTTCCGGTCTTAGCGGAGCCCGTTGAGGAGGTATGTGTATAAACTCTGGTCCCAACCTGGGAATCGTCTCCGCTTCCGGGGCTGTCAACATGTGCTTCCCGGGGTGTACTCCCCCGAGCCTGACACCCCACATCCCACACCCCACCTCCCCGCCAATATGTGGTCTCTAGGGTGTTTTCTTGGGAGAAGAAAGGATTTCAGTGAGGTGGATGTGGAGAGTCCCCCCGCCTCAAGCCTAGGGAAAGGGATACCTAGATTTGTATTCATGGGATCGGCCCCTGGGATACCTGGGCAATCTAGAGGTCATCTGTGTCATGACTTTCCTTGCTTTTAAGGATACTTAGTTTATAAAGCTCGCCTATTTTGGCTTTCCAGACACAGAGAGTTTGAGCTACGATGCACTGTCTAGTCCCCTCAGTTTGCAAATGAAACCGATCAAAAGAGATGGGAATGACTTTCCTAAGACCGTGTGATTAGTAAATTGTGGGGCTTCTGGGTCTTCACTAGAATCGAAGCTTTCTGACTCTGGCCAACACTCCTGTCATTTCACATTGCAAGGTCATTTCCCTTCTATACTAGGGGTTGCTCTGATATCTTAACTTTTCCTCCCTTCTGCCTTGCAGAGCTCTGTATCTCCTTTCTTCTAGGCCTGTGAGCTCAATTATCAGGATCACTGTCTTCCCCAGGCTGTACAACGAACATCCAGATGCTGCTCTGGGGAATTCAGCAGGGAATGAGTCCCCCATTGCCCTTTCAACGGTAAACTGCTCTCCAACTGCTCTCCCAGCATCCAGTCCTCATGTCTACCTTACTTCTCAACCTGGATTTTGGGGAACCTCCTCCTAAAAAGGCCTTACAGGGGAATTCCAAGCACCAAAGTTTTGTTAAGAAGCGGCGACTTTTGGAACGGAGAGGTTTGCTGAATAAGAAGAAGCAGCCCCCTAGCAAGATGTCTAGGTTGCACTCAGACCCTCCAAAAAAAGAGGAGACTTCTAAGGTAGATCGCACTGGGAGGGCCCATCACCTCCCCAAAAGGAAAGAGACAGCTGCCTCCAGCAGTGGGTCAGAGCAGTCCTTGAGTAAGAAAGTTGCAGTGCCTTGGCTGACCCCTGCCTCTTCACAGAAGGGTCTTTCTCTTGCGGCGAAAGTAGATTTGCTGGGAGAATTCCAGAGTGCCCTTCCAAAGATTAAGAGCCAGCCAGCTTGCTCCAAGAATAAACGTCCCCAGAAGAACCCTGCTCAGAAGAATGCCTCACAGAACTCCACTCATGCTCACTCTGAAAATAGCTCAGGACTATCTCAGGAGATTCCAAGGAAGATGGTGGCAGTTGACTGTGAAATGGTGGGCACAGGGCCCAAGGGGCATGTCAGTTCCTTGGCTAGATGTAGCATTGTCAACTACAATGGTGATGTGCTATATGATGAGTACATCCTTCCCCCGTGTCACATTGTGGACTACCGAACCAGATGGAGTGGCATCCGGAAGCAGCACATGGTGAATGCTACACCCTTCAAGGTTGCTCGGAGCCAGGTGAGGGGCATGAGGCATGGGGCATACAGCTAGCCATAAGGTGGTTTCGGAGAAATCTAAGTCATTTTTCAGTAAAGGATATTGCCTTGGGACGGTACTAAAAAATGATAGAATGTTAAATGATGTTAGAAGATGAAGGCTTCTATTTGGGGTGAGAAGTGTTGAAAGGCAGGATAGTTGAAATTAGCTGGTGTAAAAAACTTATCTGTTATTTGCTTGTTGAGTCAGCTTCCAATTTGGCGACCCCATGCACAACAATGAAATGCTTTCTGATTCTGTACCATCCCCATGATTGGTTGTGATTCAAAGGGTTGTCATTGATTGATTTTTTAGGTTAGACTTCAGTTAATCCAAATGCAGTCCTGATCTGGGCAGCTGGGAATCTGCATAGAGAAATAACAGGCAGTCTGGACCAAGCAGCAGACTTGAGTGTCTGGTAAAAGGGCTCAAATTTGGAATGCCTTATACAGAGCGGAGAGGTGGGAAGGGCTTCCTAGCCTAAGAGGAAGTGTTGGTGGAAGGTGAAGTTATCAAGTTAACAGAAGGAACTGGGTCATATTTATGTAAGTGGACCAGACAACCATGTAAAAAGCCCTGTGTTTGAAGAAAAAGAAAATTCCTGCTGAATTCTGTGAGTATCACCAATGAACCTTGAACTGCCTCTAGAGGGTGCCCTTGGTTCATTTATTTGCCTTTTCACCTTCCAATTTCTTCTTCTGTCTGAACACACTCTGCTCCAAGAATTCTTTATATGCCAGGAGAGTCAGTTGTGGGAGGCTCATCAGAGGTAATAGTAACTGGTTTTTAGAAAGGACGTAGAATGGAAAGCTGAAGAATATCCAGTGCATAAGGTGCAAAGCGGAGTGAGTGTGAGAGCAAACCTTTAATGAGGGTGATACGTTGAAATTAAAAAAAAGTAAAGGTGGTGGTGGACAGTGGACTGTGGGTGAAATCTGTAGCAACAAAACAACTAGCTGATTGGACTACGTCCAGTTTCACAATGCCCAAGCTGGAGTTGAGAGACAGGTACATCCAGATAAGTCTGACCTCTTCAAAGGGGTCCCTTTGGAAGTCCAAGTACTTATTCCAGGACTATAGCTGTTGTTCATAACTTATTTGGAAATACATTTTGGGAAGGGTCTTCTGAGTCCATGTTGTGTTTTTTGATTGTCCTCACTGGTAGTATATCCTCATTTGTTTTAGTTTCTGAAGCATTAAGACATAATTTGGCTCCAAAACTCGGGTGACTATGGTTCCTGCCCAGCTGGTAATCGCATTGTGGTTATGAGCAGGAGGTGCTATAAAGCAGTGGGACTGGCTTTCTGCAAAAATAGCACAAGCGTGGTCAACCTGATCACTTTCCTCTGTAACCTCAGTCTATAAGTGATTGTTAATCTTTTATGACTTGTGAACTCTTTGAGAATTTGATGAAAGCACCGACCCTCTCCCTCCTTTAAACACCTGTACAAATGCCTATGGGCCTATGAATTAGGACTTCCATTACCTCCCTGAAATCCATCTTCGTCTGCATAGGTCACATGTCTAAGGCCAGCATAATGGTAATGGTTAAGTACTTCCCTGTGGACAAGTAGCTCACACCAGTGCTGAACTAGTTCTTGTGTGATTTATGACTGAAAGCAAATTAGTCTCACATTGGAGTAGAAATGAATGGGAAAATAAGGAGCCATTGGCAATGAGAGTCCAGTCAGGGTGATACCATGGAAATGATCTGCTTTTACCTGCAGGAAAGAAGGGGAGTTTCAAGAGAAGGAAAACTTAGGGAAGTGGGTATTTCAATTAAAGGATAAGGTCGGTAGATGATTGGTGAAAACAACCTAGAAGGACTGGTGGCCATGTTTAACTCAGAACATGGTGCCTCTCATCATCTTTCCTTTCATGCCTATTTCAGATCTTGAAGATACTCACAGGCAAGATAGTGGTGGGTCATGCCATCCACAATGACTTCAAAGCCCTTCAGTACTTTCACCCCAAGTCCCTCACCCGTGACACCTCCCATATCCCCCTCCTCAACCGGAAAGCTGAGTGTCCAGAGAATGCTACCGTATCTCTGAAGCGTCTTACCCAGAAGCTGCTGAACCGGGACATTCAGGTAGCCTCCTCTCCCCAGCTGCTGCTGGGCCTCAGGCTTGGATGCTGCGGAGGCTCTTGCTGTCTCTGCCCAGGCTCTGACCCCAGAGTTCCTCTGGTTGTAGAGATCCTGGTGGGTTTCATTGATGGAAATAGCTTTGAGTGTAGGGGCCCAGTGTTCTCTTTGCATTTGTGTACAGTTTTCTGGGCACTAAATGAAGTGATAGTTTGGGAAAGGAAAAAACAAAAACTTAAGTAGATCTAAAACCCTAACTAAGAAAGGAAGATGGTCGCTAAAAGACCACATTGTGGGTGCATTCCCCATGTTTGGCAGTCAATGAAGGGGTGACCTGCTTGACAGGAGGTGGGCACATGAGGGGGACTTCAAAATTGTTCATGGGAAGTTCCATCATCTTTTCGTTCCATTTTTCCATGAGATTTTTGAAGCTTCCTCATATATAGAACATTTAGAGAGCAATTAAGGAACCTCAAGACGGTGGACGATTCAGGAGGCCTATTTATTTATTTTAACTTTTTGTGATTTGGGTGAAAATTTACAGAGCAGATTGATTTTCCAGTCAACGATTCATACACATGCTGATTCGTGACATTGAATGTTAGTCCCACAGTACTCTTCCCACTTCCTCCCTGTGTTTACCTTTTCTATTCATCCTTCTTTCCTATCCCTTCTGAGTTTTATCTCTAGGTAGATGCTTACCTTTTGCTCTGTATGGTTGATTGTTCTAAGGAGTGATGGGTACCTTATTGTTCACCTTATAGGTCTGTCTATTGTTGGCTGAAACTTGAGCCATGGGGTTCGCGAGCCCGATTTAAAGAAAAAGATTCATTCTGTTTTGTCTGTTTCACCTGAGCGGACAGAATAACCAGGAGCTAGATTTCAGTCCCATGTGAGGAAGACCTTTCCAACAGTTGGAGCCAGTAATAAGGAAGGCTGTCTTATGACTAATTCTTATTGGACACCTTTTAAAAACAAGGAATGTCCTACTGTTCTTACATAGGTATTATTGGGGAGGACTGCTTCACTGTTCAGCTTCTGTGATTCTCCACTGTCCTTTCCAGCTCAGAGCTTCTTCCTCACAGTTGTAGAGAATCATCACCAGCCTTTACAGAATCCTTCGGCACTGTAGGATAACATTAGATTACTAATTGCAAAATTAGTCGTAGCCACCAGCTGCTCCTCAGAAGCCCTCTACAGGGTCGCTCTGAGTCATTTCTGACTTTTGACAGCACTTAGCAACAACGACCTGCTTCCCAGGCCTTCAGAGCTACAGGGACCTTTAGAAAGAGGCAGTTAAAATAAAAAACACTAGGGGAGTCCATCTGCTGTGCTGTGTCTCCATTGACCATAGAGTAACGTAGCATACACATGTTGCCAGAAAGGATGGAAATAGATGGCTTCCTAGGAGTTAAATTTCTGAAATTAAATAAATAGGAGTAGGACCAGGGCTTCACCAGAGTCATTTTTGCAGCCTCCTAACTCTGCAGAAGAATCTGTGAGTGTATGGAATGTATGTTAGGGGTGGGGGGAAGACATAGAGAGTTCCTTGTAGCTTCATCATCTTGTCTTCCTGCCTTGTTCAGGTTGGGAAAAGCGGACATTCCTCTGTGGAAGACGCCCAGGCCACCATGGAGCTGTATAAGTTGGTTGAAGTTGAATGGGAACAGCACCTGGCCCAGAATCCTCCAAAAGACTAGCAGCAGTGGGGACACCAATGATGTGAGAAGGCACCTAGGAGAGACAGAATGGACCAATGGACAACATTTCCAGGAACTAGGCAGGCTCCCCAGACTTAATATCCATTGAAATTTCAGCTCAGGTGTTGTGTTCTGTGTCTGATTAAGTGTACTGTGAAAGTGGGAACCCTCTATGTCAGAACCCAGCCCTATACAGTTTACCTCTTAAATGGTGCTAACCACAGGACCAGAGCGCTTTGCTCCAATCAAAGCTTTTTGACTTTCAAGGGGCGGGGCGTGCCAAAATGTAATTTTCCAAACTGCCTTATCTCTGGGGTAGCCAGCCATATGCCCCAGTTTATGCCTTTTGTCCTCTAGTCATCAACAGCTCTTCACTCCCAGAAGTCTCTTGGTTTGGATAAATTGAATGGTCACGTTACATGTCACAGACTTTATACTCTTGGTTCGGTCTCCATCTGTCCTGTGTCTAGACATTGCCTGGTGTGTCTAGACATTGCCACCTTGACTTCCAAAAGAACCAACCCCTTATGAAATTTAGTTCTCCTTAGGGCCACCTGGTGTGGCGCTGTGGGTTAATGCGCCAGACTGTAAAGCCGTTTGAATTGCAAGGTTGGTGGTTCAAGCTCACCAGCTGCTCCTAGGAAACCCTATACAGGGTCGCTATGGGTCGGAATCGACTCAACTGCACTTAACAACAACAGGGTCACAGGCAGCAGAAGTAAGAGCATAGCTTGGAAACCAACTGTTGTAATTTAGGGAAGTAGTCTCTTTCATATGGATTTATTTAATTTAGGTCCCTCTCTGAGGTTAAAAAAGAACTTAAAGTGTTTTAATAGATTTTAGTTTTACCTTACGGAGCCAAGCCTCTAAAAATACAAATTATTCCTTTGATAAAATTTTATAACAGAAAACAGTTGTGTGGTGTTTCATTTGTAATGTGTTCAATAGTTTCGTCCCAGGGCTGTAGTTCTGTAAGGGACTTCCCAGGGTCTCTGTGGGTGGGTTCTTTGTGTTCTGGAACTCATCAAGAAGTGCTGACCCAGGTGCCCTGGCATGTTGTCCTCATCCCTACACAAATCAGTGAGCACACCCAAAATGACACTTCAAGCCATATAGACTTCCTTACACAAGAGGTTGTGTAATGAGAATGAATCAGACAGTGGGCATGCGAGAGGGATAGACAGCAGGGGGAGGACAGGTGCTCAGTGACACCACCCTGTCTACCAGCTCTCCTCAGTGTACACAGCTTCCTCTTGAGCAGGTGAGTCACTGCTCTGACCTATGTCCAAGATCACTGTCTTGAGAGAATGCAGTCTCTGTGGATACATGAGGACTTGTGTTCTCTTGAGTGGCTGGTCTGGGACCAGGGCCAGAGTCACGGTTATGGCTGTCTATAGAAGGAATTTTCTGCGGACAGACAGACCAGAACCCAGATGTGACCTTGCTGTCATGTCCTGCAGTGCAGGATCTGCTTGTACAGGCAACTTGCACTGAGCAAGTTGGTTCCTGTTGAACCCAACATAGGTAATGTCCATGACTATACAAAAGAAGTGCCAGGCACCCTCATACAACTCTGGGTTAAGTAATTCAGAAAGTCCACACCAAAAAGTGGGAATGTACATCAAAGCCAAGTACTGATTGTTACTGGAAAACTGGGAAGACAACTGAAAAATTCTTCATTTGTAGGGTACTTGTCATCTGAAACAAATATAGCTTTGTGTTTTAGTAAAGTAGCAAATGGCTTTTATATTCCACCCATCCCCACATTCAGAAAGGCACTTGGCCTCACTCAGTTTTAGTGTTGGAAAGTACTCAGTCTCACTTTTGCTCCCCAACAAGAACCTGGGAGATCAGGGGAGCTTTGCAGCTATTTCCTTACTGTTTCTCCTCACTACATTCTGGTCAGAGCCCAGCTCCCCTTTCAAGGGTACTTGGATGGAGGTCCCCTGTACTTGAGCCTCCTTCCTTTTCTGTCCTCATGATCCTGGCTTCCTTCAGCTGCTGTGGACACACACCATTGTATGCCATTAAGTGCTATCACGTCAGTCTGACTCAGTATAGGGTTTCTGAGGAACGGATGATGGGTTTGAACCACTGGCCTTGTGATTGTTGTTGTTGTTAGGTGCCATGGAGCCGATACCAGCTCATAGTGACCCTGTGCACAACAGAACTGCCTTATCCTAGACTAACCTCACAATCGTTGCTACATTTGAACCCATTGATGCTGTCACTGTGCCAATCCATTTTGTTGGGGGTCTTCCTATTTTTCTCCAACCCTCTACTTTACCAAATAGGATCTCTTTCTCCAGTGACTGGTCCCTCATGACAATATGTTCAAAGTATGAAAGACGAAGTCTGGCCATCCTAGCTTCCAAGGATCAAGCTGGCTGTATTTCATCCAACACAGATCTATTTGTTCTTTTGGCAATCCATGGTACTTTCAATATTCTCCTCCACCATAACTTAAATGCATCAATTCTTCTGTGGTCTTTCTTATTCACTACCCAACTTTCACATGCATATGATATTGAAAATACCATGGTTTGGGTCAGGCACACCTTAATCCTCAAACTGATACCTTTGCTCTTGAACACTTTATGCAGAGATCTTATGCAGAAGATTTGCCCAATGCAATAATACATCGTTTGATTTCCTGACTGCTGCTTCAATGAGGGTTGATCCAAGCAAAATGAAGTCATTGACAACTTCAATCTTTTCTCCATTTATATGGATGTTATTTATAGATCCAGTGGTGAGGATTTTTGTTTTCTTTACATTGAGGTGCAGCCCATACCAAAGGCTGTGGTCTTTGATCTTCACCAGTATTTTAAGTCCTCTTGGCTTTCAGCAAGCAAGGTTGTATCATCTGAAATCATTGAACAATATCATTAATATCCCATGCACGTTAAATTTTACTGACGGTAATACAGAAACAGCTGCAACCATACATAGCTGGTTTCAGACGACATGGAATGAGGGATATCACTGCTGATGTCAGATGAATCTTGGCTGAAAAAGAACACCAGGAAAATGTTTACTTGTGTTTTGTTGAGTACACAAAGGCTTTCAATTGTGTGGATCATGGCAAATTATGGACAGCATTGCGAAGAATGATTATTCTGGAACACTTATATGTGCTCGTGAGGAACCTGTACATAAACCAAGAGGGAGTTGTTCAAGCAGAACAAGGGAACGTTGAATGGTTTAAAATTAGGAAAGGTGTGCGCCAAGATTATATTCTTTCACCACACTTATTCAATCTGTATGCTGAGCAAATAATCAGAGAAGCTGGATTGTATGAAGAAAAACCTGGCATCAGGGTTGGAGGAAGGTTCATTAACAATTTGTGATATGCACATGATACAATCTTGCCTTGTGATTAGCAGCTCTTGTTTATCCTACAGCACCACACCAGGACTCCTATCATTCTATGTTGTTACTAGGTGCTATGGAGTTGGTTCAAACTTACCGTGACCCTGTCAGTACTGGACTTCGAACCGTAAGGTAGGCAGTTCAAACCCACCATCTACTTCCTCGGGTTGCTGAGTCGGAACTGACTCCATGGCACTTAACAAACAACATGCATGATAGAATGAAACACTGCCCAGTCCTGTACCATCTCACATTTGTTATGCTAAACCCATTGCTGCTGCCACTGTGCCAATCTATTATTATATGTTATTGTTGCTGTTGAGTGGGTTCAGATTCATAGTGATCCTATATCAGTTTCCGAGGTGCGTCTGGTGAGTTTGAACTGCCAACTGACCTTTTGGTTGAGTGCTTATCCTACAGCGTCACACCAGGACTCCCTTTGATATTACTGTATAAATCTAAAGGAAGTCCTATTTTGTTTTAATCTAAGGTCCTTCTGAGAAACATACACAAATACATGACAAAAGAAAATCTTTTGCTAATATTCATTCTTTTCATAGCATAATGATGTTTTCTAAAGCTAAAAGACCTGCTGCAGGTGAGAATGGGAAGGGACAAATGGTGAGAGAACCAACCCTATCCAGACTAACTTGTGATAGTATTGTTGTTGTTGTGTGCCGTGGAGTCAGTTCCGACTCATAGCCACCCTGTACAGGGTTTCCAAGGCTGTAAATCTTTACGGGAGCAGAAAGCCTCTTCTTTCTCCCGCGGAACAGCTGGTAGTTTCGAACTGCTGACCTTGCGGTTCACAGCCTGATTCTTAACCACTACGCTACCAGAGCTCCTTTGTGATAGTATAAAACTTCATTAATATGTTGTTAAGTGTTGTCCAGTTAGTTCAGACTCAGAGTGACCATCTATAGAGTTTCTGAGGAGCTGCTGGTGAGTTTGAATTACCCACCTTGCAGAGATTCAAACTGACCTTGCAGTCCAGCACATTACCCTGCAGTGCCACACCAGGACTCCTTCATTAACATAAAAGATCTCAAAAAGGGAGGAAGGCTTGTGATTTGGAATTTTAGGTGATAGTGCTGCCCCTCCTACCCTTAGAGCGTCACAGATCCAGCGAAGGCTCCATGGAGGAACTTATTCCTAATTCTAACAGATGATTATAGCTGACAATAGAAAAGATCAACAGTACTATAATTATGAACTTGCCCCAGGGCACATTAGCCCAAGCTCAAGTTTAGAGAGGCAAACACTCATGTATGCACTCTGCGAGGTGTAGCTATGATCTACAGTCTCTGTTGTGGGTTTATAGAGTACTTTCACTTTAGTCTGTCGAGCAACTCCACTGAACAGCTGACAGTGTAATAGCAAGTTATGTTGGTATTGATACTAGGTTCAAAGTTTGATTTTTCCCGCTGACTATATTTGTGATGGAGTCTTGGTGTGGTGCTGTGGACTAATGCACCAGACTGCAAAGTTGTTTGAACTGCAACTTCAGTGGTTCAAGCTCACTGGCTGCTCCTTGGAAACCCTATACAGGGTCGCTATGGGTTACAATCGACTCGACAGCACTTAACAACAACAACAAATTTGTGACTGTTGTTACTAAGTACCATTGA